ACGGAAAACAACGAATGAACGAGAATACGGGAGATATGATTTTCCCTGTTGACTATCTGCTAGAATATATAACTCAGTACATGTCTGTTGAGGAAGGAGATCTCATCATTACTGGAACCCCTCCAGGGTTTGATACAGTCCATAAGGGCGATGTTATCGAAGCAGGATTTAAAAACATAGATAGTATTAAATTTCATGTGTGTAAAAATTAAATGATGTGCGTTTTGCTATAGATGTTTCAACAATCTATATATTTCTTATTAAAAACATTGTCAACTTGTTAATTCCAGATATAAATAAATATTGGTGTTCCCCTTTAGAGTAATTAAAAAACAAACACATCTATAACGAATTACAGATGGTTTGAAGGGTGCTTTATACCAGCTTATGACATTATGAACGACGAGCGGGCAGGTGAGATAAGTGTGCTCCTTCTGAGTTAACCAAGCCCTAAGGTCCATTTGGTGGGTTCCTTCTGAGCTAACCTAGCCCTGAGGTCCATTTGGTGTTCCTTCTGATCTAACCTAGCCCTAAGGTCCAATTTGTGTTCCTTCTGAGCTAATCTAACCCGTCCATTTGATGTGTTCCTTCTGAGCTTACCTTGCCCGAAGGTCCATTTTTGGTGTTCCCTTTGAACTAACATAGCCCTAAGGTCCGTTTGGTATTCCTGTTGAGTTAACCTAGCCCTAAGGTCCATTTGGTGTTCCTTCTGAGCTAACCTAGCCCTAAGGTCCATTGGGCTTGTGTTCCTTCCGAGCTAACCTAGCCCTAAGGGCCAATCTTCTGAGTTAACCTAGCCCGAAGGTCCATTTAGTGTTCCTTCTGAGCTTACCTAGCCTTAAGGTCCGTTTGGGCTTGTGTTCCTTCTGAGCTAACCTAGCCCTAAAACATTTGTTGTTCCTTCTGAGTTAACCTAGCCCTAAGGTCAATTTGGGCTTGTGCAATCATTATGTGTACTGTTAATGTTGGTTTCAGATGAGAATACAGATGATTTAAAAAACAATTACGTAATTTAATTTTTTTTCTCTGAAACCACAGTGAATCCACTATGCCCAATGTATTACATGCATTATGAATGGCATATTTGATTAGTACATAACTGTCCAAACCGTCTCGTGTTCGCCGAAGTGCTAGAGAGCCCTCTGGTTCAATACCCGACCTGGTCAGATGAAAAACTAAAAAAAAAATGATATTTGCTACTTCTCCGCTAAACATGCGGCACTTAGGAGCAAGAACAGATTGATCGGCTCACTGGAATTAGAATAAAAAGTCTTCCTGCGGACTGTTACATTGTGAACTAACATGTTAAAATTGGAGCTCAGTGTGTCAGTCTAGTACAAAGCAGGTTTCAGTGTCAAGTATAGTACAAAACAGGTTTTCAGTGTGTAAGTCTTGTACAAACCAGGTTTCAGTGTGTGTCTATTACAAAACAGGTTTCAGTGTCAGTCTTAGTACAAAACAGGTTGATTGTGGACACATGTTGCATTATTGATGCCTGTCGTAATAAAGGACTGCGTTTTGTGAGAAAAATTTGGTTGATTATTTAGGGAATCACTGAAGCATGACTGGAGTGGGGCCCCCCTTATGAAAATTTCTAGATCCGCCACTTAGAAGTCTGCATACTTTATTACATTATAATAGTTTGTGTCCATGTGTCGGGACACAAAATGCACGCTAACTTAATTTTGCAACGGAACCTTGCCACTAATGAGTATCACATAAACTTGAGATTTTTAAAGATCATGTTCTATAAGCATAAAACTGGTATTATGTTTACACCACCAAGGAGGAGATATGATAAGAGCCATTATTTGACCCCTGAAATTGTAAAAATAGTAAAAGTATTCTGTTGTGTGGTTTCAGAGGAGTTGCGATGACAAACTTTTGCAGTAGTGTATTTAGGCCAAAGTTCTAATTTCAAAGGGGCATGACTTCTAGAAAAAAAGTAGTATCATAATTTCTTGTCTATATGCACATCTACATAGTAGGTCCTTATTACCTACAAAGTTTCAGGAAATTATGTTGTGTGGTTTCAGAGGAGTTGACGGGTCAAAAACATTATACCCTGCGGAACTTTGTTCCCTGGGGTATTAGTAAAACAATGATACTATCTGATTTTCAAATTCAAAGGGCAAAGAAGTGGTCTGATCATACCTTCTCCTTTAGTCCTCATGAAAAAACCCAATTTTTTTGTAAATGTTTAATGAAATTTTGACATGGTGTATGATAAACTACATATATATCTCAACACATAATGATTATTCACAATCATGGCAATCTGATTTATTATAAATCAAAAAGAAAAGATAAGTATCCTCATTTAATGAAATACTTTTATAAGTCAATGTATCTTCACATTTCACAGTCATTTATGATTAAAAATTTGAATGATAGCGTTTCATCTGCAATGACATTTAAAAAATAAGAACAACTGAATATTTAGAAATCTATTACAGTAGACTCCACCTAATCGGATATCGGCTAAACGAATATATCGGCTATTGTAATATTATTTCAAAACACCAAACCCTTCCCTATATGTTTAATGTTAATTTTATCGTGTAATCGAATATCGGATATAAGAATATATCGGCAAATCGGATAAGAATATTCAGGTCATTTTGTTCAAAACCATGCACAATCGGATATTTTCAATGTTTTTCTGACAGGAAATGGAACCGGAAGTTACGAATTTACAATCTTGCAGACAAGAAGATTTTGTTTTTACTAAATAAAAGGAACTATTTCTTAATAAATTGTTGTCTTTAATCATTGTCTTCCTTTGTCATGTGAATTAGATGCCCTTTTACTTCAAATGGTTTGAATTTATTTATAAAATATGCAAGACTCAGTTGACAAGTTGACGTTGCTGTTTGGAGAATTTTGATTAAACTCTAAATGTTCACAGAATCAGAAATATAATCTAAACTGAATGTACCTCCTTCTGAATAATTTATTGCAATATAAATATAAATCCCTTTTGACAAGAGAAATCTGACTTTTGTCAGATATATTTTTTTCACATGTGCAAAAGTAACCACATGTCATGGACGCCATTTTGGATGTTTATAAATTTGTGAGGAAGCCTCTAGAACTATGACCTAAATATAAATAGTCTTCAGAAAACGTAAACTTTATGCAATAATATTTTATCAATCATGATTATTTTCATAAATTTAAATTTGATTATTTAAAGAAATAAAATTATAACAAATACGATTTTAGTTTGGAGATTCTACACAGACATGCTTAGATCTATTTATAGCCAAATTAGTTTACATGTGTGATAATGTAAATAATGGATATTAATTTGCTTACAAAACAAATAAAGACAAACTATGGATGGTAGATAATAATTCACATAAATATTTCAGGACATTTGATTTATTTTAATAAATAAAGGATTTATAAACTGCAAACAAATTTAATCATTACATAATCAGCTGATAATTTTTTACACAAACATCGTGGTGATGTTACTGATAAAAATCACTCCATCAATCCTCCAGCCCTTTCACATATTTAGCAATTGTCAGGGTTAATAACATCTCAGGATTATATCTACTCATTATTGCAGAATATTCAATGAATATACATTCATCGTCTAATTGAATATATCGGGTAATCGGATATTTTTAGCTGACATTTTGGGTATCCGATTTGCCGGAGTCTACTGTACTATTCTTGAAAGATTATTTTTCTGAATTTGGCGGACTGTTTAAGTTCACAAGCTCACTAATAAGAAAAAGATAAAACTACAAAAAAATCTGCATTAACTGAATTTCAAAACAAAATGATAACCAGCATATAGGTTTATGCTTAGTAGGTATACATTTTGTAGGCATCAGACTTGTCATACCATAAAGTACAGGAAAATCATCATGGTCTAAAGGACAATTTTTTTATTTGTGTGTTGTAATATCTATACAAAATTCATTAATTATGATATTTTATACAACAGATTTAAATAGGTATCTTTCTTGTTTTTCTGACTATACAAAACTGAGTTGAAAAACAGGGAAATAAAAGTGCTACAGAGGTTTGCTAGCGAATGAAAATGTCATTTTTGAAACATAACAATTTGTACTAATATCCTGGCATTTACATGGTCATATAAAGTACAATATCATTTACATCTAGAAACTCCTCCAAGACCACATCAAACTATGTAATAATTAACATGGTCATATACAGTACAATATCCTTTACATCTAGAAACTCCTCCAAGACCACATCAAACTATGTTATAATTAACATGGTTACATACAGTACAATATCCTTTACATCTAGAAACTCCTCCAAGACCACATCAAACTATGTAATAATTAACATGGTCATATACAGTACAATATCCTTTACATCTAGAAACTCCTCCAAGACCACATCAAACTATGTAATAATTAACATGGTCACATACAGTACAATATCCTTTACATCTAGAAACTCCTCCAAGACCACACCAAACTATGTAATAATTAACACACACACACACACACTACTTCTACTTAATACATTCTATACACAGACAATTATACAATTCATGCATTTACTTCTAATCTATAGTTTTGTTCTTCAAACTCATTCTTATGTCAATAATTTAAATATTAAATAAAAACCAAAGTGACTTGGCTAACAAAGAAACAGTACATATTACTGTAAATAGAAGTTGTTCCTACAGCCAATGATATATCAGTACATATTACAGTAAATAGAAACTGTTCCTATAGCCAATGATATAACAAGGCTAGTGATATATAGCCCCTTAGGTTATTGATGAGACCCCTTACAAATAAAGAGATCTTTGTTTCAGTGAGTTCTATACATGACCATAAAGACTATACAAACCAAATAAATATTACCAGATATAATGAATAGAATATTAATACACAATGTTCTATATTCACTAACATTTTGAGTGTTTTAGTATGAGTCCTTTGACTGGAGGTTAAATTGTTATAATAAAATGTTATTGCTGCTCTCGTGTTAATTGTTTATTAATGTTGGTAGATTTTTTGGTGACATCTTATTGGTCTGTTGTCCCTATGTAAAATATTAAGTTTGTGTTGATTGATTTCAGTTTAATAATTTGCAGTACTATTCACTGATGTTTTGGTTGATTCCTAGTCCTCATGGCATAGGGAGATGGTTTAATAGACTGTTGTCCTTGTGGAGTCTGCACCACTGTGGTAACAATTCCTTGAGCTACCGGTGACGGTGGAGGCAGTGCTGCAGCTGCTGCTAGAGCTGCCTGTGAAGTGACAGTACCAGTCTGTACCGTTGTTTGTGAAACTGGTACCTGTTGCTGAATTAATGTTACATTAGGGGGAGGGGTTTGAATAGCTGGGGTAACAGTCAATGTCAATGGTGATGATGTGTTAGACGCTACAGTGCCTGTTGATGGCTGAGATGTGGAATGAACATGAATCGTTGCTGGCTGCTGTACTGAGCCACTAGGTGTCACTTGAATCTGTTGAACAGGTTGTGCCACTATTGAAGCCTGTGATAAAGTTGCTACCCTAGCTTGATGAGTTGCCACTGGATGAACTTGAACAGTGTTGCCACTAACATTACCGACTGTTGCCACTGTTACAGACTTGGCGACTTGTTGAGAGGGATGAGCCATGCTGATTGTTGCTACAGGTATCTGTGTTGGTGCACTGGCAGCCACTGTCACATGACTGATTACAGGCGAAGCAGCTGATATGGTATGTATCTGTGAAGTTGGTATGGTACCTTGGGATGAGGTCAGAACTTTAGTTACGATCTGGCCAGAGGGCTGACTTTGAGTGACCGTGGCAATGATTGTCGGCTGAGATGTTATTATCATTCCTTGATGAGGTTTGTTTGTACTCATAATTTGCTGCAGCTGATAGGTCAGAGGTCGACCGGAGGCACTTTGAGGTTGAGGTATGATCTGAACTGTATTGAGAGGTATCTGGGTCTTCCCCATTTGCTGGGTAATGGCTGAAAATTAAAGAAGAAATACAAATGTTTTCATCAAAAACATCAATTGATACACTTTCATAAATTTCAAAATCACTAACAAATTGTAGGTTTGTATTCTGTTGGGTAATAACACTTGTGGATTAAATGTACAATTTAAAATTTGGACAAGCCATATTACAAATCAATCATATAAAAGTCAGTTTTGTTCTTAAAAAAATTGTGGCTTTTGTGAGAAAGGAATCAAATCCATGAAAAATAATGGATGGGGAATGATTGTTTAAAGTACAAAGTATAAGTATAACAATATTAGAATTATCTTTTAATGATTATAATATAGAGAGGTAAACAAAAATACAGATGAAATCTCGACAGATAACAAATCCATACAATTCATTTAATACAGCAGTTAGTAGTGGAATCAATCTATAAGATATGATCACATAGTGTATAGTATGTAACATTTGATTTTAAACTAATTACACTATACAAGAGTGCACACGCTGAAATGTCTCGCCTTCTTTACTAATCATTGATATTATGTTGATAGTCCTAAATATAAAGCTTATTACAACTGTCACATAAACTTAACATTAACCAAGTAAAACTAAACATTGACCAATGAACCATGAGAATGAGGTCAAGGTCAGATGAACCATGCTGGGCAGGCATGTACAGCTAACAATTCTTCCATACAACAAATATAGTTGACCTATTGCTTATAGTTTAAGAAAAACAGACCAAAACACAAAAACTTAACACTGAGCAATGAACCTTGAAAATGAGGTCAAGGTCAAATAAAACCTGCGTGACTGACAAATAGATCATAAAATATTTCCATGCACCAAATATAGTTGAACTATTGCATATAGTATTAGAAAAAAAGACCAAAACTAAAAAAACTTAACTTTGACCACTGAACCATGAAAATGAGGTCAAAGTCAGATGACACCTGCCCGCTAGACATGTACACCTTACAATCATTCCATACACCAAATATAGTAGACCTATGGCATACAGTATAAGAAAAACAGACCAAAACACAAAAACTTAACTATAACCACTGAACCATGAAAATGAGGTCAAGGTCAGATGACACCTGCCAGTTGGACATGTACACCTTACAGTCCTTCCATACACCGAATATACTAGACCTATTGCTTATAGTATCTGAGATATGGACTTGACCACCAAAACTTAACCTTGTTCACTGATCCATGAAATGAGGTCGAGGTCAAGTGAAAACTGTCTGACGAGCATGAGAACCTTGCAAGGTACGCACATACCAAATATAGTTGAACTATTGCATATAGTATAAGAAAAAAAGACCAAAACTCAAAAACTTAACTTTGACCACTGAACCATGAAAATGAGGTCAAGGTCAGATGACACCTGCCGGCTAGACATGTACACCTTACAATCATTCCATACACCAAATATAGTAGACCTATGGCATACAGTATAAGAAAAACAGACCAAAACACAAAAACTTAACTATAACCACTGAACCATGAAAATGAGGTCAAGGTCAGATGACACCTGCCAGTTGGACATGTACACCTTACAGTCCTTCCATACACCGAATATACTACACCTATTGCTTATAGTATCTGAGATATGGACTTGACCACCAAAACTTAACCTTGTTCACTGATCCATGAAATGAGGTCGAGGTCAAGTGAAAACTGTCTGACGAGCATGAGAACCTTGCAAGGTACGCACATACCAAATATAGTTGAACTATTGCATATAGTATTAGAAAAAAAGACCAAAACTCAAAAACTTAACTTTGACCACTGAACCATGAAAATGAGGTCAAGGTCAGATGACACCTGCCCGCTAGACATGTACACCTTACAATCATTCCATACACCTAATATAGTAGACCTATGGCATACAGTATAAGAAAAACAGACTAAAACACAAAAACTTAACTATAACCACTGAACCATGAAAATGAGGTCAAGGTCAGATGACACCTGCCAGTTGGACATGTACACCTTACAGTCCTTCCATACACCGAATATACTAGACCTATTGCTTATAGTATCTGAGATATGGACTTGACCACCAAAACTTAACCTTGTTCACTGATCCATGTATTGGGGTCGAGGTCAAGTGAAAACTGTCTGACGGGCATGAGGACCTTGCAAGGTACGCACATACCAAATATAGTTATCCTATTACTTATAATAAGAGAGAATCTAACATTACAAAAAATCTTAACTTTTTTTTCAAGTAGTCACTGAACCATGAAAATGAGGTCAAGGACATTGGACATGTGACTGACGGAAACTTCGTAACATGAGGCATCCATATACAAAGTATGAAGCATCCAGACCTTCCACCTTCTAAAATATAAAGCTTTTAAGAAGTTAGCTAACGCCGCCGCCGCCGTAGCCGCCGCCGGATCACTATCCCTATGTCGAGCTTTCTGCGACAAAAGTCGCAGGCTCGACAAAAAGTAATATATGTCTGAAATACTGTTACCCTTTAACCAACGTAGATGTAATTTAGTATTATGAATGTTGTGTGTATTTTGAAAGTGCCAATCTACCTAAGAATCGGGCAGTGATGAAAACATGACAAACAAAAATATAACATTCATTTCCTTTTCCTGTTCTGGTAATTCAATTGATTTTTTTTTAAAATTGCCCAATTCTTACAAAGACTGGCATTAAACCCTATTTAAATGATTGCCACTACTTACAAGTGATTTTCTGTTGTCCAGGAATGGGCTGTCCTTTTCTAAGTAATTGCATGGGTGGTAACTGTCCCTTCTGAAGATGACTGATTGTGGCTTTGGTAGCTGTAAAATATAAGTATATATCTATTTAAAAATGAATGTCTGTTTCAACAATGTAATTCAAATGTGTAAGTTACAAATTAACATAGAAAATATTAATCTAATCTAGAAAATCACACATATTCAGAAATGATTGTGAAGGTTTTATAAATGCGACAGTATCATGTTCACAATAATACAAACTTGCATTCATTATTTCAAAAGGGATTTGATGTTATAAAATTTTTGCAATCGCATTAATTTGATTTCTCTTTTTCTACCAGTTCAAGGTTTCCCCAATATTTCCAAATTTGCATAATCTTACAAGCATTAGGTTGATAATTTTCTGGTTGCATATAAGATCAATTACATTTTGACACACAAAAGGTTTGTTCATTTTGTATTCTTTTTTCCCCACTTTCTTTGGACAGTTTTTGCTGAATATACTTCATATTTTGTTCTCAACTCTCCTTGAAATAAATGGAGGAATGTGTCTATGGGCCACAGATGCCCCGCTTGTAATATGCATGCGTCAACATCCACATACAGATGCAGTATCACGTAGTTAAGACAGTTTTGTGATTATAAGCATTGTGTATAAGTTTCATAACATTTGGTTGAGGCAAACTAATGTTATGAGAACGGTAACGACAGATTTAGCAATTTTTCCATTTATAAAGGGGCATAACTCAAGAACGTAAAAGTGATGCCACCCAATTTCAAACTTGATCTGTGTTTTTTGGTAATAAGCATTGTGTATAAGTTTCATAACATTTGGTTGAGGTAAACTAAAGTTAAGAGAATGGAAACCAATTTTGGGGACGGACAAGGGTAACACTTAATGCATAAAAATTGATATGTAATTCAAACAAGTTTGTGTAAACATTTAACCAATTTTTCTCCTACTTTAACCATTTTTTTTGGTGACTGCCTTATCTTTTTTTATGCATTTCTTATTTTACATAGAGCTTTCAAACCATAAAAATAATTAACAAATTTTACCTATATTTGTCTTTTGAGCAGGAACAGTAACATTTATACTGACAGCTGTACTGGTGGGCAACTGTAATGGTACTGGTGTGGATACTGTCTTCACTAAATGGGCAGCAGTCCCTGCCACTGAAACAGGCTGACCAACCTGTTGTACCTGACCCTGGGCTATTATCTGTGTAGCTGGCAACTAAAAAAGACAATAAATTCTATGAACATAGATGAACTTGAAGGATGAATGATAATGTTACATTGTAAATTCTTTTCTCTAATTCTTCGTCAATTTATCCCTTTCTGCACCCATTGTATAAAAAAAATTTAATCAACGTGTGGTTCGTTTGATCTCAGTTCTTCATTTGTTAAAATCCGATTATGACGTCAAATTTTCTTGCTTTCCTCTGAATTTCCTATTGTGACGGCATGAAAAAAGACGACCATGCCTGATGACGTCACATAGAAAGAACACATCTTTTTGCAGATCATTCAAAAAGAAGGAATAAGTTTGCCTGCATATTGTTTGAAAATCATTAGAGAAACAGATTCCACCACCAAATCTCGTGTAATACGATATTTATCCACTCTCGACAGTTAAATTTTAAATATTTAAAATGCTCGGCGAGCCTCGCATTTTAAATTTGAAAATTTAACTGTCTCGAGTGGATAAATATCATATTACACTCGATGCAGTGGTAGAATCTATATATCTAGATCTGGTTTTTTTTATCAGGTGATAATAAATTGAATGCATACATCTTTGACAAATATTGTCTGTCAAAGCTTTAAACACTGAAGATTTCTTTTGTCATATTGCTGTATGTTAATATCTAGCTCAGATAAAAATCCTAATGGCTTCGTAATTTGGTGGGAAAATCACTATGTATGAATGAAAGAAAATAAACAGCATACATAATTGAGACATTAATCCAACAAAATATCCAAGGTCAATATAGTCTCTAATAGTGTTTTCCACATGTAAATCTCTAAATTGCTCGGTGTCTATACAAGTTGTAAACAAATTATACAGACATTATAAAACTTTTACGATCAACAAATATGATCAATAACCTACTTTTATTAATGCAGTTTTTGAGAAGTAAATAATGAATTTGCGATTTCCTACATATAGTTGAGACCTACTTGTAATTGTCCCCTTGTTTGCGACTGTCTACATAGATGTAGTTGAGACCTACTTGTAATTGTCCCTGTGTTTGCGACTTCCTACATAGATATAGTTGAGACCTACTTTTAATTGTCCCTGTGTTTGTGACTTCCTACATGGATGTGGTTGAGACCTACTTGTAATTGTCCCTGTGTTTTCTTGAGACCTACTTGTAATTGTCCCTGTGTTTTCTTGAGACCTACTTGTAATTGTCCCTGTGTTTTCTTGAGACCTACTTGTAAGTGTCCCTGTGTTTTCTTGAGACCTACTTGTAACTGTCCCTGTGTTTTCTTGAGACCTACTTGTAACTGTCCCCGTGTTTTCTTGAGACCTACTTGTAACTGTCCCTGTGTTTTCTTGAGACCTACTGATAACTGTCCCTGTGTTTTTTTAGACCTACTTGTAACTGTCCCTGTGTTTTCTTGAGACCTACTTGTAATTGTCCCTGTGATTTCTGGATTAGCTGCTGTTGTTGTTTCAGACGATTCAATTCTTCCTGTGTCAGTTGTCTCTTCATCCGTGGAACCTATCAAGCATAATATGAGAATATGTAAAAAACCAGTAAAACTCCGATGATGATGAATTGGTGTTCCCCTTTCACTGGCATATATAACATGCTTATAAGGACGAGAACACGTTAATGTTATATAATTATGGGTTCTACTTTTTATCAGACCAACAAAATAAGCCAGATTTTATAAGGTTTCTTTTGGTATTCAATAAGGTAACAGTCTGCAGAAAGATATGTACCCTTACCAAGACACAATCATCTACTTTGTAGCAGACAAGTGGTTATATCCTCAGGATCTAGGAATAATTTTGACCACTACATATGAGAGTTATTTCCCTTTCTGGTATAAAACCACTAATTCACAGCCCCATTGCTTTCTATGTTAAATTATGCAATTTTAAGCATTAATGGCTACTTTGTATTAAGTTCAAACAAAGTGGCAGTTATTTCATGTCAAAACTATACCTTATCCTGACTTGTGCTGAAAAATTCAACATACCTTTAAATGCATATTAGAGCGTACTGGTTCCCGGAAGTTTGATTGTACAAAAACAGGTACTTCTGATCTGAACAACAGGGCAAATGTGCCCTCCCATTAAAATTTTACATAATTCTTTATTATTCAAAAGAAACTTTTAAACAAGGATTCTACAGTGATCCCAAGTCTCTAAGCTTTCATTTGATACCAAAACTACCCAAATATTACACCTATTGACAAAGATACAGCTATGCGTAGGAACTATTTTGTTTTAAATATGTACTACTTTCTTGTATGTTCTTTCCGACCGGGCCTGAATTAGTGGTTCTATACCTTCTGTATTTAAAATCAGTGAAATGTAATTGTAACTGGTAAACCATAAGTGATAGACCTAGGGTATCTTGATTTGAGGTCCTTGGTCCACCAAAAAGAAAATGGTGTCAAGGTCATTTTCTAAATTTTGTCCTTTACTTGTGTGTGCATACTATCTTATACTATAAAAGCTAGATGTAAAAGAACTGACGCTAAATGTTTGGGTTGAGACAAACAAATGGTATATTCAGTCCGAAATGATCAGATGATATCTTATTGGAGTTATTGCCTCTAAAATGTTAAAATTTAAGGTAAATCTAATATTACTTCATTCTGGTACATGATAAAGCCATAGTGTCTTTTGCAAAGGCTTGGGTGACACATGACCTTAATTGAAAGAAAAGTATATGGAAACCATATATCTTAGAATTAGTGAAAATAAAGCTATCTTATGAAACCGGAAATGACATTTTCTTAACCAGATGTAGCAAATTATCTCCCATTTTTCAGGCAAAAGTACATACAAGAGTGCACACGCTGAAATGTCTCGCCTTCTTTACCAATCATTGATATTATGTTGATAGTCCTAAATATAAAGCTTTATTACAACTGTCACATAAACTTAACATTAACCAAGTAAACTAAGTATTGACCAATGAACCATGAAAATGAGGTCAAAGTCAGATGAACCATGCTAGGCAGGCATGTACAGCTAACAATTCTTCCATACAACAAATATAGTTGACCTATTGCTTATAGTTTAAGAAAAACAGACCAAAACACAAAAACTGAGCAATGAACCTTGAAAATGAGGTCAAGGTAAAAAAAAAACCTGTGTGACTGACAAATAGATCATAAAATATTTCCATACACCAAATATAGTTGGAACTATTGCATATAGTATTAGAAAAAAAGACTAAAACTCAAAAACTTAACTTTGACCACTGAACCATGAAAATGAGGTCAAGGTCAGATGACACCTGCCAGCTAGACATGTACACCTTACAATCATTCCATACACCAAATATAGTAGACCTATTGCATACAGTATAAGAAAAACAGACCAAAACATAAAAACTTAACTATAACCACTGAACCATGAAAATGAGGTCAAGGTCAGATGACACCTGCCAGTTGGACATGTACACCTTACAGTCCTTCCATACACCGAATATACTAGACCTATTGCGTATAGTATCTGAGATATGGACTTGACCACCAAAACTTAACCTTGTTCACTGATCCATGAAATGAGGTCGAGGTCAAGTGAAAACTGTCTGACGGGCATGAGGACCTTGCAAGGTATGCACATACCAAATATAGTTATCCTATTACTTATAATAAGAGAGAATTTAACATTACAAAAATATTAACTTTTTTTTCAAGTAGTCACTGAACCATGAAAATGAGGTCAAGGATATTGGACATGTGACTGACGGAAAGTTCGTAACATGAGGCATCCATATACAAAGTATGAAGCATCCAGATCTTCCACATTCTAAAATATAAAGCTTTTAAGAAGTTAGCTAACGCCGCCGCCGGATCACTATCCCTATGTCGAGCTTTCTGGGACAAAAGTCGCAGGCTCGACAAAAACCATATATGTTTGGAATCAGTGCAAAGAAAGCTATCATATGAGACCGGAAATGACATTTTCTTAACCGGAAGTAGCAAAACATCTCCAACATTTAATAGAAACCATATATTTTTTGAATCAGTATGAAGAAATCTTTGATTGGACGCCAATAGTAACTTTGAGAAAACCAGAAGAAGCTTCTTATCAATTATTTAGAAATGTAATGTGGAAAGACCATCAATTGTTCTCTGAACAATTGGTTTTTAATTTATCCTTATTTTTCTCTCGACCAGAATGACTGCTAAAAGAACAGATCTTGAATAATCATTTAATAAATGAAGGAATTAGTTCTTATTTTATTACAATTTACTTTGATCACTTGACTGTGGTTTTCTACAGCAGTTTGTTAAAATTTCTGACCTGTTTGAACAGTTTGGTTTGATAAAAAAAAATATTAGGTTAAAATTTTGAATGAACTGAAGTAGGTGGAGAGCAACACTAACAGTCAAGTCACAGAAATTGTTTGTCATAAAATAAAAGCCTTCAGAAATTCTGGTCATACCTGAGCAACACTTGTGACAAGCTGTTGAGCTATAACTGTTTTCTGAGGAATTCCTGGCCTTGCACTCTGTTGAATTTGGCGTAATTGCTGTTGCTGAAATGCAAGAAAATACTTTCATGAGATAATTTAATTTCGTGAGAAATAAAAATCATTCACTGCTGCATTTCCTTGTTGTAATTTCTGCCTGGTTAAATGAAGTGTTGGCCTTTTATGGATTCGGGATGTTGTCATTTTTTAGTAACCCTTATAGTCACCTCTGCACATTTTTAATAGCTCTCTCTGATGTTCAGTTTTTGTTGCATCAGTACAGTTTTTTGTTATTTGTACATTAAATAATATCTCTGATGATATATTTTGTTGTTTGGTGATCTCTCATATGATGTTACTTCAGTGTAAATTTGTGACTTCATATTTAGTTTTGTGTCCTCTAGTGTTACTTTTTGTTTCTCTTGTACCCCTGCAACATATCTGTGCCCTATAGTTATGTTAATATATTATAAATAACAAATCTTAAGGTGTCTGCACCCTGAGATAAATGATGTCAGTGATAAAATTGAAGTAATGCTAACAGTCTTAATTTGTGCAGACATGCTGGATTGATCCAAACATATGTATATCGATGTGGATTCTATATGGGGAGTCCAGTTTCATCATTTCTTATGTTAGTATCTTATGACTGAAGATATTAAGTTTTGGTATTTCAGTAATTTTGTTTCCTCAGATATTTGTTCTTCTGAACAGTTTCTGATGCCATAGATTTTGCTATTTTCGCATCATACTATGATGTCTGGTGTTTCTTACATTTTGAGATATTATAGATAAGATGTTTCTGATGCAACATATTTTTTATTTCTTTATCTTCTTATCACAAAGTATGTTAAATTTTGTTAATCTATACATTTCAATAATGCCAAAAGATAGAATTTTTAGCTTTTGTTTCATTTTAATAGTCCTTGATGTTAGTTAATGTAAATTTACACATGTATCTAACAGATTTTGTGACTTGTAAGGAAATGATATGACTTACTGTAATATTAAGTTTCTGCATCCTGAGTTGTTGTTGTTGTTGTATAGCCTGGTGACCAATCAGATGTCTCTGTTGTATTAGTTGTTGTTGTGGTGTCAGTGTTTTACCAGCTGCTACTGTCAGTTGTTGTTGTACTACAGTGTCTACAAAGTATATTATCAAATTAATAATTATAAATTACTGGGTTACCTTATATTTTTAAGTTAGGGCGGTACCAAAAATATGAGAGGCACTCAAATAAATTGAATGTTTATTTTATGGGTAGTCTAAGTCTTAAGAAAGTGCCTCCTATCCCACTGAATAATTTAATTCTGGAACAGTTCTTATATAAAAATAAGGAGATGTAGTATGGTTGCCAATGTGACAACAATACTAAAAGGACCAAAGGAGAAAAATGTGAACAACTACAGGCTACAGTACAGACTTCAAAACTGAACAAAGCACTTACCATATACTATTTCAAAGCTATAAAAGGACCCATTTAACAAAATGTGAAACAACACAAAATGTGAAAATAAAGTGTTGAACTAAACAAATAAACATTTAACTTAAACCTTCATTTGACAGAATATCCTTCAGCTTTATAATATCAAATGCAATAAAATGCTTCGCTGGGGCGCAGCTTGATACGACCGCAGAGGTCGAACCCTGAACAGTTGGGGCAAGTATGGACACAACATTCAAGCTTGATACAGCTCTGAATTTGGATTGTTATTAAATATTTGACACAGCATAGGTTTCTGATACAGAAAGAATGTGGTCTAAGAACTTGATTTTTTTTAATTTACCTATTATTGTCCAATGTCCAAAATCAAAATACATGGTTAGATTCAGCATATATTCAATTTTTGTTAAAATCAAACAAAGTTTAATTTTGGACCCCAACTTGGACAAACTTGAAAACTGGGCCCATAATCAAAAATCTAAACACATGTTTAGATTCAGCATATCAAAGAACCCCAAGAATTCAATTTTTGCTTAAATCAAACTAAGTTTAATTTTGGACCCTTTGGACCTTAATGTAGACCAATTTAAAAAACGGGACTTAAAATTAAAAATCTAAATACACGGTTAGATTTAGAATATCAAAGAACCCAAATAATTCAATTTTTGATGAACATGATGAAATCAAACAAAGTTTAATTCTGGACCCTTTGGACCTCAATGAAGACCAATTTAAAAAACGGGACCCAAATTAAACATCTAAAAACACGGTTAGATTTGGCATATCAAAGAACCCCAATAATTCAATTTTTGATGAAATCAAACAAAGTTTAATTTTGGACCCTTTTGACCTCAATATGAACCAATTTGATAGTGGGGCCTACAAATAAAAAATCTAAATACATGGTTAGATTCAGCATATCAAAGAACCTCATATATTCAATTTTTGTTGAAATCAAACAAAGTTTAATTTGGACCCCAATTTGGACCAACTTGAAAACTGGGCCCATAATCAAAAATCTAAATACATGTTTAGATTCAGCACATCAAAGAACCCCATATATTCAATTTTTGTAGAAATCAAACAAAGTTTAAATACTGGACCCTATCTTGGACCAACTTGAAAACTGGGCCCATAATCAAAAATCTAAACACATGTTTAGATTCAGCATATCAAAGAACCCCAAGAATTCAATTTTTGTTAAAATCAAACTAAGTTTAGTTTTGGACCATTTGGACCTTAATGTAGACCAATTTAAAAAACAGGACCCAAAATTAAAAATCTAAATACACGGTTAGATTTGGAATATCAAAGAGCCCCAATAATTCAATTTTAGATGAAATCAAACAAAGTTTAATTTTGGACCCTTTTGACCTCAATATGAACCAATTTGATAACGGGGTCCACAAATAAAAAATCTAAATACATGGTTAGATTCAGCATTTCAAAGAACCCCATATATTCATTTTTGTGGAAATCAAACAAAGTTTAATTTTGGACCCCAATTTGGACCAACTTGAAAACTGGGCCAAAAATCAATAAAATGCTTCGCTGGGGCACAGCTTGATACGACCGCAGAGGTCGAACCCTGAACAGTTGGGGCAAGTATGGACACACATTCAAGCTTGATACAGCTCTGAATTTGGATTGTTATTAAATATTTGACACAGCATAGGTTTCTGACACAGAAAGAATGTGGTCTAAGAACTTGAATTTTTTAATTTACCTATTATGGTCCAATGTCCAAAATCAAAATACATGGTTAGATTCAGCATATCAAAGAACCCCATATATTCAATTTTTGTTAAAATCAAACAAAGATTAATTTTGGACCCCAACTTGTACAAACTTGAAAACTGGGCCCATAATCAAAAATCTAAACACATGTTTAGATTCAGCATATCAAAGAACCCCAAGAATTCAATTTTTGCTAAAATCAAACTAAGTTTAATTTTGGACCCTTTGGACCTTAATGTAGACCAATTTAAAAAACGGGACTTAAAATTAAAAATCTTAATACACGGTTAGATTTGGAATATCAAAGAACCCCAATAATTCAATTTTTGATGAAATCAAACAAAGTTTAATTTTGGACCCTTTTGACCTCAATATAAACCAATTTGATAGCGGGGCCCACAAATAAAAAATCTAAATTCATGGTTAGATTCAGCATATCAAAGAACCCCATATATTCAATTTTTGTTGAAATCAAAAAAAGTTTAATTTTGGACCCCAACTTGGACCAACTTGAAAACTGGGCCCATAATCAAAAATCTAAACACATGTTTAGATTCAGCATATCAAAGAACCCCAAGAATTCAATTTTTGTTAAAATCAAACTAAGTTTAATTTTGGACCCTTTGGACCTCAATGAAGACCAATTTAAAAAACGGGACCCAAATTAAACATCTAAAAACACGGTTAGATTTGGCATATCAAAGAACCCCAATAATTCAATTTTTGATGAAATCAAACAAAGTTTAATTTTGGACTCTTTTGATCTCAATATGAACCAATTTGATAGCAGGGCCTACAAATAAAAAATCTAAATACATGGTTAGATTCAGCATATCAAAGAACCTCATATATTCAATTTTTGTTGAAATCAAACAAAGTTTAATTTTGGACCCCAATTTGGACCAACTTGAAAACTGGGCCCATAATCAAAAATCTAAATACATGTTTAGATTCAGCATATCAAAGAACCCCATATATTCAATTTTTGTTGAAATCAATCAAAGTTTAAATACTGGACCCTATCTTGGACCAACTTGAAAACTGGGCCCATAATCAAAAATCTAAACACATGTTTAGATTCAGCATATCAAAGAACCCCAAGAATTCAATTTTTGTTAAAATCAAACTAAGTTTAATTTTGGACCCTTTGGACCTTAATGTAGACCAATTTAAAAAACAGGACCCAAAATTAAAAATCTAAATACACAGTTAGATTTGGAATATCAAAGAGCCCCAATAATTCAATTTTAGATGAAATCAAACAAAGTTTATTTTTGGACCCTTTTGACGTCAATATGAACCAATTTGATAATGGGGTCCACAAATAAAAAATCTAAATACATGGTTAGATTCAGCATATCAAAGAACCCCATATATTCAATTTTTGTTGAAATCAAACAAAGTTTAATTTTGGACCCCAATTTGGACCAACTTGAAAACTGGGCCAGAAATCAAAAATCTAAATACATGTTTAGATTCAGCATATCAAAGAACCTCATATATTCAATTTTTGCTAAAATCAAACAAAGTTTAATTTTGGACCCTTTGGACCTTAATGTAGACAGTAACTGACTATTTTGAAAACTGGACCCAAAATTAAAAATCTATATACACTGTTAGATTCGGCATAACAAATAAATAAATGTGATCAAAGATTTTACAAATCTAATGCGCCATACTGTGCAATTAAAGATGACTTCTTGAAATTTTTCAATATTTGAAATTTGAAAAAAAAAAATATTTGAAGAATAATTCTTTTTAATTTCTGAAATCTGAAATGAGAAAAAATTGACCTCCCACAATTTCTTTTTATCCCCCCCCCCCCCCTTTTTTCCCCAAAAAAATTCTTTCCCTCAAGATAGGGTCATAATCTCAATTCAAATTTCCAATGGAGTTGGCAACCATAATTACCCATTTATTTTTACCATAGTGCTAACTTAATCTATTTTATAATAGAATTAAAAATATAGTGTCAAATCTTTCATATGGATTTTTTTGTAAAAAAAAATGATGCAACATTTGCAGATATTTTTACTGGTCTTCCTTTATAAATATGCATTTCTTTAAACATAATTTAAAAGCAGTGTAAGGGAAGTAACCAAAACGTTGTATTTGGATTACCTCCCTTACACTGTTTTAAATTATCTTTATTGTTCATTAACCATTACTTTATACATAATTTAAAAGCAGTGTAAAGGAGATAATTTCAATGATGTATTTGATTTATCTCCCTTACACTGCTGTTTTGTACTAAAGTATTTGTCCATTAACCAGGACAACCTTGTTTTTCCCCCTTTTTTGCCCCTAATTCCTAAACGGTTTGAGCCATAACCCCCCAAAGCAAATCCTAACCATCCCTTTGTGGTATGGAAACTTGTAGTATAATTTCAGAGAGATCCATACACCGTTCCACAGTTATTGTCTGGAAACTAGAAAATGCTTATTTTTGGCCCCTTTTTGGCCCCTAATTCCTTAACTGTTGGTACCATAACCCCCAAAATCAATCCCAACCTTCCTTTTGTGGTATTTAACCTTATGGTAAAATTTCAAAAAGATCCATTCACTTAAACTAAAGTTAGAGTGCGAAAACCAATGTGTCTTCGGACGACGACGACGACGACGACGCCAACGTCATACCAATATACGACCACAAAATTTTTTTGCGGTCGTATAAAAATCTAAATACATGTTTAGATTCAGCATATCAAAGAACCTCATATATTCAATTTTTGCTAAAATCAAACAAAGTTTAATTTTGGACCCTTTGGACCTTAATGTAGACCATTTTGAAAACTGGACCCAAAATTAAAAATCTAAATACACTGTTAGATTCGGCATAACAAATAAATAAATGTGATCAAAGATTTTACAAATCTTATGCGCCATACTGTGCAATTAAAGATTACTTCTTGAAATTTTTCAATATTTGAAATTTGAAAAAAAAATAATATTTGAAGAATAATTCTTTTTAATTTCTGAAATCTGAAATGAGAAAAAATTGACCCCCCACAATTTCTTTTTATCCCCCCCCCCCTTTTTTCCCCCAAAAAATTCTTTCCCTCAAGATATGGTCATAATCTCAATTCAAATTTCCAATGGAGTTGGCAACCATAATTACCCATTTAAATTTACCATAGTGCTAACTAAATCTATTTTATAATAGAATTAAGAATATAGTGTCAAATCTTTCATATGGATTTTTTTGTAAAAAAAAATGATGCAACATTTGCAGATATTTTTACTGGTCTTCCTTTATAAATATGCATTTCTTTAAACATAATTTAAAAGCAGTGTAAGGGAAGTAACCAAAACGTTGTATTTGGATTACCTCCCTTACACTGTTTTAAATTATCTTTATTGTTCATTAACCATTACTTTATACATAATTTAAAAGCAGTGTAAGGGAGATAATTTGAATGATGTATTTGATTTATCTCCCTTACACTGCTTTAAATTATGTTTTGTACTCAAGTATTTGTCCATTAACCAGGACAACCTTGTTTTTCCCCCTTTTTTGCCCCTAATTCCTAAACGGTTTGAGCCATAACCCCCCAAAGAAAATCCTAACCATCCCTTTGTGGTATGGAAACTTGTAGTATAATTTCAGAGAGATCCATACACTAACACACAAGTTATGTCTGGAAGTTACAAAAATGCTTATTTTTGGCCCCTTTTTGGCCCCTAATTCCTTAACTGTTGGTACCATAACCCCCAAAATCAATCCCAACCTTCCTTTTGTGGTATTTAACCTTATGGTAAAATTTCAAAAAGATCCATTCACTTAAACTAAAGTTAGAGTGCGAAAACCAATGTGTCTTCGGACGACGACGACGATGACGTGACGCCAACGTCATACCAATATACGACCACAAAATTTTTTTGCTATCGTATAATTAGAAATCAAACAAAATTACACATCAATAAAAAACAGATTTCCATCTACTGCGGATTTTTATCGTGGATTGAGGAAAAAATGTACTTTCATGGATATGTAATTTCATGGTTTGGCAAAAGTCTGCATACAAGGCTGTAAAAAATTTGTCCTTCCGCTGAACATTCAAATTCATTGTTCACGAAATTTGGTATCCCATGATTAATAATGAATCCACAGTAGTATGTAAAATATAAGTAATTTGTATGTCTTACTTCCAGCAATAGTTGTGATACCAGGTATTCGTTGTTGGGCTGCTGCAGCCACTGCTAACTGAGCTGGTGTCAATGTGGTTACTGTAGAGACTTGTGTTCTAGCTGTAGTTATTTGAGCTATCTGCCCTGTGGCGCCCTGACTTACAGAGGTTATTTCCTGTATGGTTTGAGGAGCTGCTGGCCGCTGAGCTCTTATGGCTGATGTTAACATATTTGATACGGCCTAAAATATGTCAATTATCTTATCATTCATACTATTTTAAATCAATGTGGCAATATTTTGAGTTAATAAATTTACTTGTGGGGATTTTTAGAAACTGCTTTAAAACAGTTATACAACTACATGCCCTTCTTTTTTTAAACATTTCTTAATTTTGTACTATAAAAAGACAACATCATCCTGGATTACAGCAAGGAAATGCTTTATTCTGGTCTACACGTTTAGCCACTAATCCAGGATGTTGTCTTTTTATAGTTTTATTTTCCCGAGGTTTTAAGACAACCGCAGCATACATCGGTATCCATCCTGATTACTCTACCATCTTGTACCGTTAGGTGTTGGTTCACTCGTGTATATATTTCTTAATTTAATTTATTATGTGGTTTGGAAAAAAAATTTGATCTAAGAATTCATATATTTGTGGAACTATCAGTACTTTCAACCAGATCAACTCAAATTTTGCATGTTCTTTAAATCTTTGTGTTTTGTCTCCATGAAAATATAATCTAACAATGTTTCTACCTTGGCAAAGTAATTATTTTACCATTTGCCTTCTTAAAAATATTTTGAACAATGGAAATTCTGGAGTTATTCTTACCACTGTAGCAGGCTGTCCTGCATTGGCCTGACTCATCCTTCTATTGATAGCAGCAAAGTTAGAAGCTACTCCTGGGGGTGTATTAACTACAATATTACTGGCAGCCCGGGGTAAGGCTGTCACTGCCTGTCCTACTGCTGTCTTGGCTAATGTGGCCGTCTGCTGTAAACACAAAACTCAACTTACAAAGGAAAGAAACTATATATTTCACAGATATATCATTGGTTTATCTTTATGACTACACTCTTTCAATGAACAATAAAAGGGGGATACATATAAAATTAATACAAGTTTATTTGATTATACAAAAAGATAATGAAGTTTAGTTTAGTAAGCCATTATTTATGGTTTGGTTGAAGCAGGTGCAGAAAAATGTGACTTTAAATGACAACTTGACTTAACATGATATGATAATTCTATTACAAGATCTCAATTCATTTACAAATTTCACATATCCTGGATTTATAACATGAATCTCGTAACATTTTTTTCTCATTGACTTGCACTTTTTATTCAGTGATCATGCTTTACTTTTCTTTCATGTTAACACATTTAACCAATTATAACAGATTATCTGTTTGAAATCACTACAGATTGAACATCACTAGAAGCAAGCTTGATGACTTACGAGACCAGCTGTTGTGACAGTAGTGTAGATCTGTTGTTGACCTGCGACTGTGCCAGCTATACTTTGTGCCACCACCACAGCAGTGGTTCCAGCTTGCTGGGAAGGTGCTGTAGGGGTAGACTGGGTAGTTTGTGCTTGAGATTTCTGAAGCTGTTGTTCGGCAGAAGCAGCCTATTAGGAAAGGAGTAATAAGGATTCTGTTAAACTTAAATAAATCATATTTTCCTTTCGTAGACAATAAAATTCTAAAAGCAAGCGAAGCTATTTTGTTGTCAACTTGATAACCATATGCAATTGTACTTTTTAAAGAACTGCAGTAATTTTGTTCCTTATATATAGTTGTGTTCCTGTATTAGCATGTATCTCATTTATATTTATGTTTGTTACTTAACATATTTAACAAGAATGTCTCCATAGTACATGGATGCCCCAACCGCACTATCATTTTCTATGTTCAGTGGACCGTGAAATTGAGGTCAAAACTCTAATTTGGCATTAAAATTAGAAAGATCATATCATAGGGAACATGTGTACTAAATTTCAAGTTGATAGGACTTCAACTTCATCAATAACTACCTTGACCAAAAACTTTAACCTGAAGCAGGACAGACGAACGGACGAACAAACAGACACACAGACCGAAAAACATAATGACCCTAGGTGGGGCATAAAAACAAGAATGTATCCATAGTACACGGATGCCCCACTTGCACTATCATTTTCTATGTTCAGTGGACTGTGAAATCGGGGTCAAAAAACTAATTTGGCGTTAAAATTAGAAAAATCATATCATAGGGAACATGTGTACTACGTTTCAAGTTGATTTGACTTCAACTTCATCAATAACTACCTTGATCAAAAACTTTAACCTGAAGCGGGACAGACAGACTTAAGAACGAACAGACACACAGACCGAAAAACATAATGCCCCTAGGTGGGGCATAAAAATAAGAATGTGTCCATAGTACACAGATGCCCCACTAGCACTATCATTTTCTATGTTCAGTGGACCGTGAAATTGGGGTAAAAAAAACTAATTTGGCAATCAAATTAGAAAGATCATATCATAGGGAACATGTGTACTAAGTTTCAAGTTGATTGGACTTCCAACTTCAGCAAAAACTACCTTGACCAAAAACTTTAACCTGAAGCGGGACAGACGGACGAATGGATGCACAGACCAGAAAACAAACTTTTTTAATATTCAAATAAAGACAAAATAATGCACAATTACAGATGAATAAACTAATAATTGAGATTTCAAAGTGCCTTCTCTGGTTCCCATATATGTTATTTTTGAACAGTCCTAATGAAATCTATGATATAGAGGAAACACATTGATTTCATTTCATTGAACACATCATCAAATTGATAATTGGACATCTAAATATAAGAAATGCCCTGAAAACCAAGAAATAAATTTCTCATTTCAGTTATATCTCAATAAACTGGAAATATCATTTCTATTTTATTGGTATTACTCTTCAATAGTTTCACATATTATTACCTTTGAAGGTGATGAAAAGAGATTCTAATGCAATTTAAATTGCAATTTGGATTTGACGATCGCAAATATCTACGCAAAGCCAGTGAAACTATGTGCGACCTTCGAATCCTTAACTGACAGTGGCAGCTCTACTTATCCCTTAAATGTACAGTAAAAATGAATACAAATACTGGTAAAAACTTTACATTAAATGATAAAATCTTACAGCGGCAGCTTGATTCTGTTTCTTTTCCCTCTGGATTCTCTGAGCTCTGATCTCAGCTACCTGCATTGGTGTGAGTGGTTGCTCATAGTTGATTTCATTCTCAGACAGTACAGATGCATGTTTTGGATTCTTCAATGTAGGATTAACCAGAGTCTGTTTGAGTGGAGGTGGACGTTTAGTCGCTATACCTTTGACCCCGTCAAACCTCAGACTGTATAACATACTTATGGCATTCTGGTTATCTTGAACAAATAACTGACTTGTTCTCATTGGTCGGTTGTTCTTTGTCTGAAAAATAATTAAAAGAGTAAACTTATTTTTTGCAAATGGTATATGTTTATTTAGACAAGAACTGTTTCAAAGGTACTACCACAATGATTGCAGTTGAAGACTTATTAGATTTTCGACACACTGTTTTTTAAAAGCTTTCAACTTCGCCTCAGTTGACAAAGTTTTCTCGGGGTAACAATCTGCCTTATCAACCTCTCAGCTATGTATTATTTATATAATATCACGTTTAATGCTTATTTTAATACCTCAAGATAACATACAAACCCGAACGGATCACTTTCAAGAAAATTAGTTAACGTCTGTTTAAGTTTTGATGTAAACATCAATCATCACTTTTAACTGCTTAAATTGCACACAAGATTTTAAACAAGAAAGAATACAGAGTAAAATATATAAAACATATTCATCAAGGACTGCATTACAAAATGTAACACAATAAAATTGAGAATGGAAATGGGGAATGTGTCAAAGAGACAACAACTCGACCAAAGAGCAATGGGTCTTCAGCACAGCGAGAAAATCCCGCACCCAGAGGCGGGATTCAGCTGGCATCTAAACAAAATGTGTACTAGTTCAGTGAAAATACATTTCAGTGCTGTAAAATGACTCTTATTTGAAAGTGAATAGTACATATTGTTCTATAAATCAATTAAATCGCTTCCCTTTTCATCTTAGAGTACATAAGTAATTCTATTTGAACACTTGTTAAAATGTTAACTTGTAAACATGTATACATACTGAATTATTTCTAACCTTATAAATTCCTTTTGTTTTCTTGCTCTGTTTTTTAGGGTTGATATCATACAGTATTCTTCCTTCCTCTCTCGGTATGATAACATTTTCATATCTGTTTTTACACTGCTTGGCTGAACGATACACTCGACTACAACTATTAACAATATCTGCCACTAGGTCCCAGTTTGGTAAGTGAGCAGGGGAAACAACCATTAGATTCAAGGGCACATCAAATATCGTCTGCACAGCCTACAAAATACATATTTCAATAAGTATTTGACATTCTAACATGACGTTCTTCAAACGCTTTGAGTACACACCCGTGGTAAAATATGAATATATTGTTTGGGCTGTTCCAATCGTACTCCCGCGTCATATGTTTTTTTATGAATGAGCTACCCGACGTCATAGAACGATGAAGTAAGAATATAAGCATTTTACAGGAAAATACACGCTTTTGAAACCGAAAATCATCACAAGAAGGAAACGTAAACAAACGATGCAAAAATGTGTTATATAAGCCATTTTTGTATACATATAAGACATATAAGTACAATTATCATTTAGATTCATCCAAACCTATCTAAATATGTTATTGTAAATAGTTTAAGCATGTCATTTATTCAGTTTGCTCCGGTCTTTTACGTTAATTTAATAGTGCGTTTATTTATGGGAACGGCAAATAATGCCTTCATCTAGAGCGCTTCGATCCAAAACAATTGCCGTATTTGTCCTATTAGAATCGAAATAATTCATGGGGGCTTGAATATATCGTGCTTTTACCACGGGTTGTCCCTTTATGCCGATATTTTACCCCTCGCTATCGCTCAGGGTAAAATATTTGTCATAAAGGGCCAACCCTTGGTAAAATCACGATATATTCAAGCCCCCATGAATTATTTCTTAAGTAGATTATGTTCCGTTACCATTTAAATGTACAGAGAAGGCGGTTTTCCTGTAAATCTTTTTACTGGACTTATTTTTCTCAAATTAGCTTATTCCTGTGATGCTCAATTCTTTCAAAAGTTTTGATGCATTCACAATAGTTTTTTTTAACATGATATATATAGAAAGTCTTAAAAAAAGAATCATCTCCATCAATAAGTTTCATATAAGATAAAACTATTTATATTTCCAGTCATAATATTTTTTTTTAAATATTCAAAAACTATTGCTATAGATTTAATGAAATGATTTACGTATATACACCTTCAATATTACGATTTTTTGGCATCATTTAACAAAATGAGAAAAAATCTGAATAACACTCATGCATACAAGTATAGTCTTTACATCAAAATGTATTGTTTGGCAGTTAGTTATTTTACCTGTAGCAATGCCCAGTCCTCGTGTATCAGCCACTCTGGATGATCAGGTGTAGGATCTGGGGGTTTGTTAATCATCTGTGGAACTGGACGGAATGGTTTCAGTAAGCCTTGTTTTAGTTTGGCCTCCCTACGTAACTTGAGAAGAGCAGATGTAGGTCTATCAAACAATGACCGTGGAACTCTTGGTTGTTCTTCTTTTCTTTGTTTCTGTTTTCTCGCTACAAGAAATAAACTTTACATTAGTAGCTATTTGATGTCATTAAACAACTCTCGTGCGGGTGCACTCAACTCCAATCTTAATTGACTAGGATTGTCAGTTTTCCTATTGAAGTAGGTGGTTTTCTTCGGGCACTCCAGCTTCCTCCACCAATAAAAACTGGCCGCCACAAAATATCTCAAAAGCGGTGCTTAAAAGTGGCGTTAAAACACAAACAAAATCAAATCAAATCATTAAACAACTCAATATAGATATAAATTTCAGTCTTCATGTTGCAGTGTATTTGTTTTTGTTTGCCAGTTTATCATATTTTATATTTAAATAAAGTATATAAGAATGTTGCATTTTTCCATCATAAGGTACAGAACCTCTCTGCTTTGCTTGGCAATTATTAGCACGGGAAGAAATCTTGTTATTCACTAGCAAGTTTACATTTGTATCTTTTGGTGATCTAAAAGTTTTCTGAAAATCTTTGTCGTTATTAAAAGAACCTGTTGATTATATTTTGATAATGAATGTGCCAAAATTCAATTAAAATGTCAAGTTTTTATGTCTTCCTCCGATTTTGCTATTGGGATGTCAAGAAAAAAATAATTTCTGAAGAGATCTTAATTTATTAATTTTTTTTTTTATGTTGACTGTATTTGAAATTTGCTAGGAAAAAACTAATTGAATGGTGGAATTTGTCTTGGGATGACACTCAAAATGTTCCAGTGGCCTGTAATTTTGCCTGTTCACTGCTAATAATGAAGATTCTTATAGAGTCTAAGTATACAATAGAATAACATCAGATTACCATTTTAAACATTTTGAAATTCACTTCAACTTTTCCTAGCATGTAATACTTTAATACTGTAATTTCAAATAGCTTTTGACATATTTACATTTGAAGGAATATCCGTAACATTATTTGCAATAAGAACACGGACCACAACTCTGCACAAAATCATCAGACCGGAACAAAATTCGGAGTTGATCTGTAATTAATTTGTCATGATAAAACAATACACCAAATATCAAATCAATATCTTCAAGCATGAAGGAAAAAAGTGTGGAAAACTAATTTGCCGGACTGACGGATGGACAGACAGATGGACAGAGGGCAAACCTAAAGTCCCCTTAGACTTCGTCGGTAGGGGACTAACAATTAATTTCTTGTCACAGGATTGTTTATGAAGCTTTATAAATTTGCGGAAATAATGTTGATAAAGGTTCCATTTTTTGTCATTATACACGACTTACTTCATCATTATACATGACTTACTTCATCATTATACACAACTTACTACATCATTATACACGACTTACTTGTGATGGATTCAATCTTGGGTTTCTTGTGTTCTTTCTTGATGTAGATGGGTGGTAACTGTGTCTCTGGCATGGTACTGTGCTCATACAGGAAGCACATTGATTGGTCAATATAGATGTCATTATCATCATGTGGTGGGGTGGGAGGGGTCCACATCTGTTGAATCAAAACAAAGTTTAGTGCTTATCCAATAGTAATAATTCTTATTCTTGTATTAATCATGGTTATTACAGTAATTTTATCGTAAACAGAAATCAGTGTTTGTCAATTGCATCATTCTAGACACTAGAAAAAAACAAAAAGTAATACCCTCATCCTTCCGTTGAAGCCTATCTTGTATTTTTCTCATAAAGGCTATAAACATATTGAAGTATTTTTGAAAGCTGTACTGTTCAGCCTATGATGAAACAAGTTTGTACATGGTGTAGAAAAGTCAAGATTGAATGTCGTCTGCTGAACATCACTAATTCAGTAAGAAATGACAATAAATTTATCAAAGTTGTACAAAAATTACAAACATGTAAAATATTGTTTGTTCATAGTTAACATGTGTTTGGTTATTTATAGTAAGGTTGGTTCCATTGGGGTATTGAGTTTAATGCACGAGTGCACTTCGGCAGTTTAGAGTCATTCGAGCCATTGCAGTCAAAGTGTACAGTATTAAACATTTTACCAAATAAATAATAATATAATTTATATTATTAATTTTCAGATTTCTTGACCACCAGTATGTGGCAACCTGTACCAGCTTCTAACTTTTAGTTAATTTAGACGCACTTTCCATATTATACAAATATGAATAATAAAATGTGCACTTGTCTCTGCAAGTGCCTTCTCCTATGTGAGAGTTATTTGATAGGTATTGTATTTTCGTTTGAGTTTACAATATTTTATACTTACTGTCATTTTTTCCTGATCAACATCAGATTTAAAGACCTGTAAAATATACAATTCTAAATATAGACATGGCAAATTGCTAAATCATTGGTTCCATCCATATACCCTGTAATATTGTAATAACCAAATCATATGAAAAAAGTGAGGACAATATCGAAAAATCTTCCTGCTTATTTTTATAATAATTAAACCTAGATATGCAGTGCAGTACTTCTGCAATATGCTGAAGAAGATTTGTTCTTTTAACACTGATTGGCTAACAATTTTTTCCTTTATCAACTTCATGTAAATTGATCTGACAAATTCTGTATTATTTCATTCTAGATCCTTTTCAAGTTTCATTGTAATGGATGATCAAGGCAAAAATCAATGATACTCCTTTTCAGTTTTCTTGAAGCTCAAAGAAAATGTGAATGACACTGAGACAGGCTCCTATTTTATTCACCCATTTTCATTACATTTGCTATGATAGACAGAAGCACCAAGGATATATATGCTGAGTTTCTGTCTATAGGGATTTGTAGTAAAAACCACTGTTATTTGTCAAGTACGGTTTGTGGTTCTGGTTAAGAAGACTATCAAGTCTGCAGATAATTCATTTGAAATGATAGAAGAACAAAAATGTGCCTAAATTTCAGTCTATCAATTGCTTTTGTAACCTTGATCTTTAACCAAGTAACTACAACATGAACAGGGGTCCTTTATCCCCAAGGCTTATTATCCACCAAATAATAATAAAAGATTTTTTTTTATTGCGTACAAGTTCTGGTGAAACCAAACTTGATTTTAGTCTATTTAGAGAAACTGTGATCTTCCAATTTGGTCTTGCACTACAGTAGATTCATTATTATTCGTGGGATACCAATTTTAGTGGATTTTGTGGGTATAGGCGAAGCATGAATATAAATGTTCAAGAAAGTACAAATTTTCTATAGGCTTGTATGCAGACCAAGAAAATTGGTACACATCAAAATAAATTAATCCACAGTATTCAAGTTAGCTTTTTGCCTACGATTTAGATTTTATGAAAAACAAAATGTGGCTCCAATATTATTAGGATAGAATTGCTAGTATGCCATTTACCTTTGACCAAATGACCTCAAATTCAAGTCTTTTGTCACCCAAAAGTGATTTCTTCACCATACCTTGGGACAAGAGTCTGTCAGATTGACAGCAAACCACGATTTTTCTGCATGAAAATGATATTTGCAAATCTGGACCCCCAAAAAGGACCAAAGGCCAAAATCAATCTTGACCTATTTATCATAATTGACATAATATTGGAATTTAAGAGAGTATGCAGGTACACACACATTTGTTCAGCAGGGTTGGGTAGTCAGAAATCATGAAGTCAATAATGAAAGAAATATGTTTATGAGATTATAACCTTATCTAATATGAAACCATACAATCCTGTGGTCACTTCAATAACCCTCTTTCAAATGGTTGTTGTCTTGTTTCCTTAAAATATCACAAGATTTTCATCTAAGCCTTTTCAAGTTATTGCATGGACAACGCTCAAGTATCACTTTATGCTACTTAAAGGTCTGTAACTAATCAACAATAAAGGCTAAAATCGTGAAATTCAAACTTGACCTTCTTTTAGTCACAGGAATCAACATATTTAAATTTTAAAAATTTCGTCCATGCATTTTCAAGTTATTGCATGGACAAAGTTATAGGTATCACTTTTTGCTACTTAAAAGGTCTACAACCCCAAAAAATCTTGTTTATGGTTACAAAGATATCCTCTTGAAAGAAGGAAGGGTTGTAAGAGTCCTACAAAGCAACTTAATGATCCTAGTGGGACAGTAATTTTTTTCGAAAATTTCAGTCTACTTATAGGCAATGATGTAACATTTGACATTTGACCAACTGACCAAAATTCAATAGGGTTTTATTCCGTCTCTAAGGAACTTTTTCTCTCCATGGATAATTATCAAACCAATTTTGATGCACGTATGGGATTAAAATATTTTGTCTGTAATTCAAAATGTTGATGCCTCAACAGCATTCATTATATAAAGCCCATTTTGACTTCCTTGTAACTTGCTTAAAATCATATTATTCCTGAATATATTTTGTAAAAACATTTCCAATAGAACCCCATCAAAATCGATCAGTAGTTGTACAGCGAGAAGGTAAAACATTCAAGAATGGACAATGATGATTAAGTAGATTTTTTTTGTGTATTTTCTTCAGGCTCTAAAAGTAAAACAAGTTACATCTGCTAGCCATATTGTTTGGCAGAACAGCATCGTAGTTACATTTCGTTATCTAATAACGTAAGCCAAATCATAATAAATTGTTAACACAGAAATATGTCTCGCCTTTTTGCAATTTTGATAAAACAATTCAATTAGCAATACTTTAACATGTAAGTTATGCAAATATTCAAGTCAATGAATCATGACTGAAGGTACATGGCTAAACAATCTCCATGGAAATGAGATGTGCCAATGCTAATACAACTGCATACCAAATATCATTGACTTATCAGAAGTCGTTCCCTTTAAACAAACCTAAACACAAACATTAACTTTTAAACTATGTAAATGTTTCAAAGTCAATGAACCATGATGAGGGGGTGGGGCTATATAATCTCCATAGAAAAGAGACTTGCAAATGCCAATAAACTTGCATACCAAATATCATTGACTTAACCATTAGCGGTTCATCTTAAACTGATCTAATCACAAACTAATACATGTAAACTAAGCAAAAGTTTCAAAGTCATTAGACCACGACTGTGGGGGCAGGGCCAAATAATCTACATGGAATTGAAATGTGCCAATGCTAATACAACTGCATACCAAATATCATTGACCTGCCACTAGTGGTTTACCATAAACTAGACCTAATCACAAACTAATACATTGTTGACGCCGCCAAAAACAGCATACCTATGTCTCACTTTTTGACTCTGTAAAGGCGAGACAAAAACCGCAATTGTACTACATCTCCTTATTTCTATAATGGATGCAATGTGAATACAAACATCTAATATTACACCAAGGAAACACATAAGAGTAAAGAGATGGGAGTCCTGTCATCGAGACAGTAACCCAACGACACAAACAATGAAGACAAATAGGCTTTGATTACAGACGACTTTTTTTTTAGTTTTTTGTGGAAGTTCCATTTACATCTGAGCAGTTGACAGTTATATAGAGGTGCACATTACTTTGTTAAGACCTTCCTTTTGTAATGTTCATATAAATGTGCACTTGGTTCTGCAAAGGCTACTCCTATACAAGTGACAATTGTTAAATATTTCTCCTTTTCCAGCCATGGTACCTTTAACAAAAATGCACCCGAGTTAAAACTACTAAATCATTGCGGAAAATACCATTTTCCATTTGTTTAAAACCATTTTTATACATCTAATAAATATCCTCATCCCTTCTAAAGAAGTCAAACTGGGGTAAAAGTCCAATGCACCAGGAATATACTGGTATAGAAAAAGAAATTAAGTGCACTACAAATCGAACCAACGGAACATACAGAGTACTTCCATTTAATGAACTATCACTGAATGTTAAGCAAACAACAATCAATCAATTTGTTATCCATAATAACCTGTTTAGCCTGAAGACAAATCAATTCTTTAAAGAAAGGATACTTTATGGCAAAGTTTTCACCTAGCTACAAGTATTTGAAGCCTGAATCAAACAATTATTTACAGCAGACTCCATGGCCAGTGTTAAAAGCTTTGACAGCTACCAATTAATGTTTGCAGTTTTTATAACAGGATCCTTAGAACTCTGCCATTAATTGAACCAAATAAAAAAAAATGTATTCCCTCACCTTTTGTCATCAGAACATATCATCCATACAAGTGAATGGTATCCATCTACTACTAGAGTTTATATCCATGTGTCAAAAAAGTCAAATATAACATGTAAATTGTGGCTTTAGATCATTGAACTGTTGACAACTATCTCGAAGACTTAATATACCATGTATATTGTGGCTTTAAATCACTAAACCATTGACCACTATCTCGGAGACTTAATATACCATGTAAATTGTGGCTTTAGATCATTGAACTGTTGACAACTATCTCGGAGACTTAATATACCATGTAAATTGTGGCTTTAGATCATTGAACCGTTGACAACTATCTAGGAGACTTAATATACCATGTAAATTGTGGCTTTAGATCATTGAACAGTTGACAACTATCTCGGAGACTTAATATACCATGTAAATTGTGGCTTTAGATCATTGAACAGTTGACAACTATTTCGGAGACTTAATATACCATGTAAATTGTGGCTTTAGATCATTGAACTGTTGACAACTATCTCAGAGACTTAATATACCATGCAAATTGTGGCTTTTGATCATTGAACTGTTGACAACTATCTCGGAGACTTAATATACCATGTAAATTGTGGCTTTAGATCATTGAACTGTTGACAACTATCTCGGAGACTTAATATACCATGTAAATTGTGGCTTTAGATCATTGAACTGTTGACAACTATCTCGGAGACTTAATATACCATGTAAATTGTGGCTTTAGATCATTGAACTGTTGACAACTATCTCGGAGACTTAATATACCATGTAAATTGTGGCTTTAGATCATTGAACTGTTGACAACTATCTCAGAGACTTAATATACCATGAAAATTGTGGCTTTAGATCATTGAACTGTTGACAACTATCTCGGAGACTTAATATACCATGTATATTGTGGCTTTAGATCATTGAACCGTTGACAACTATCTCGGAGACTTAATATACCATGTATATTGTGGCTTTAGATCATTGAACAGTTGACAACTATCTTGGAGACTTAATATACCATGTATATTGTGGCTTTAAATAACTAAACCATTGACCACTATCTCAGACTTAATATACCATGTATATTGTGGCTGTCCTAAAGTCTATCACTGAACTGTCGACAACTATTATTATTAAACTCTATTACAATCCACAACAATGTTTACAGGAACTAGAGCATGACTACAAATGGCCACAATTTAGTGAAACTCACTAAAAATAGCAAGTTTTCAGACAACCGGAATGTCCATTACTACATCCGTGTATGGGTAAATATAAACATTTATGGTGATGTGGAATCTGCATCAGGCCAACAATGATACAAGGTTGTGTGGTGCCTCAGTTTAGCCAAACAAACACGCCTGCAATTTAGAAAATTTCCTAAAGGAGATACAGAATTTCCACAATGACACCATAAACCTTATATCACCCCTGGCTGACAAACATACATGAAGTTCTGTCATTTTGTTAAATCATTTAAAGGCTAGGCTATTTTCAAAGTTTCAATTTGAGATTAGAATCTATTATTAAAACAAAATTTAGACCCAAACAATTTAATCATTTACACATTCAATTCAGACCTTTTCCTAATTAACAAAATGACAAAACTTCACACATGTTAAATAGATGCAGAAACACAGCATTTGTTACATAAATGTTTATTTTTTATCCTTTTTCATCAAAATCATTTACAAATGAATGGAAATGACATACAAACATTCATTGTTATCTTATATACAAAACATAAAAACTTGTGCTAATCTAAACTTGTGCAACATTCAAACAACTAATCATGTTCTCTTGACAAAACACTAGCAAATACATTCTTGCTGAATATCAAGAGTTATTATTTATAATAGTTCTGTTTTTCTATTTATAACCATCACCTGTTAATGTTTTGTTCCAGTGGAATCAGTCAGTAAAAATAAATATGTTTAAGTTCTAATTATCTGCAAAATAAAATATGTTAATAAAAGAGTTCTTTCTTGCTGTTTTCAGCAACTTTTTTTAATTTTGTATTTATCGTATGAAAAAAATTAAGATATACAAACTGTTTTCCTGATTTTTAATTTTTTATTATTTGCAAAATAAAATTTCAAAAAAGTGGCATTGAACCAAGCATCATTTCTTCTCTTGCTAGTTTCAGTAAACTGAAAATCTTCAAGTCTTAGATATAGTTAAAAAATTCAGTTTAAAAAAAAGTAAGACAATTTTAAATAACCATTTTTTACAGGGCTACTCTTTTGACATTGTTCCATTCATATTATCAATGAAGCAGCTACTATCCAATAAAGAAAAATTATCTTCTAAATTTCACATTGGATATCATTTTTTTTTCATCTTAAAAAAACTTCTGTTCAATTTTCTTGAAAAAAAACATTTAGTGACTTTATTCAAACCATAAAAAATAACTTAATATTACATGTTAAAAAAAAAAATAGATTTCAGGATCACAATGAGTAGTGAATACTGTCAAAACAACAATTTCAATACATGTACTAGTGTTATTATCATTATAAAACAAATCATTAACACTGACCTGTGAAACAGAACATTTACAGTGAATGGTGTATTTTGGTTTTATATCTAAGACAATGACAGAACTGATTCTTTTTGATAACTAAATAAGCGTGCTGTGTGAGTACAGGATCAATATATATATATATATATGTCCTAATTCAACAATACTCTCCAGGTAAAGAACTGTTACCTAATTCTATTTTGGGATACTATATTTTTTTATCTTGTAGTTTAGTTTCCCCCCTTGTTAACCAAGTATAATAAAATTAAAGTTGTGAACCAAGCAGGAGAAAGCCAGTGATATAATGATAACCTTTAAAGGACTAGTTTGTTGGAAGTACAAAGATTTCTGTCATACAAAAATACTCTTTTATAAATTCCTGTATAAAATATAGACCATATCAAAGATGCATAAAAATTTAAACAAATAATTCTCGTTAACTTTGTGTAATTTTTTAAGACTGACCCCAAAAATCTTGCGGTCTATTTGAAAAGGTAGACATATTCATATCAAGTTTATTTACTTGTAAATGATGTTACGTATCAACTGCTAATTAGCACAACATGAAAAGAAACTATTTGAAATACAATAAAAAATTTGCACTGATGGTATGACTTTAATAAATTCAGAATTCCACCGATTAATAAATTCAAAATTGTGCCATATTTTATATAGGAATTATGACAATCTCTTATACTGCTCTATACAAAGCAATGATTACCATGAAGAATAATGGTTTTGTATCAAATTACATTTATTCCTCTTAAAAATATCTCATAAAAATTTGTCAAAGCTTGTGACATCAAGACAAATGAGAAGACACACGCTCTATATTTACATGTTTTACCTATCAAACATTTCTCATTCTGTCAATGAAACTTCATATAAACTTCATCAACATTCAAAAATAAATGCAAACTCCTCCAACTTCTATATACATTTTTGTTTACATTCACAAGACTAATCCTTAATTCTATATTTAACATCCATCATATATCTCAATATGACTATAAAACATCAGAAAAATTGGTTTTTGTACAAATGATCTCATTTATGATTCCAAAAACTAAGCAAATATAAAATCAGTTTCATATAAAATTCAGATTTGCAAAAAAGATTAAAATTGCTCCTGAAAAACATGTACTTTTGTCTTTTGATTTTGAGCACAAGCATGTGGGGATGTTAAACATAGAATTAGTATTAGGTTAGCCTAACATTTGCAACTGTTTTACACACCCTTTAAGTACAAACTAATGATCTTCAACACAACCATTTTTACTATCTACATTAGCACTTGGTATATGATTTGTCTCTGGTTTAACAATACTTTGATTTTGAATGATGGGGATTTCCCCATTTTCAAGCCCTGCTTTGTTTACCTCCTGTACAGCCGCCCTCCTCGTCCGTATGACTAGATTAGGATTGTTCCACGGAGGAGGGACGGTTGATGCAGGTGATTGCTGCCTAGCAGCCATGCTAACTGTAGCTATAGCAGGACGAGCACTTGCCACAAGCGATGGCCTTGTAACTCTCTGTACCTGTCCAACATTTCCAGCCACTTGAAATCTAGAAACAGGAGAGTTAATCCTGCTAGTGGTTACAGGGCCGTTAGCCATTTGTATTCCTCCCTGTGTGACAACAAGTGTAGGCATTACATTTCTAACTTTAGGTACAGCAGTACTCCTGGCTCTTTCAGCTTTAACAACAGGCATGGTCATTTGAGAGCTAGCCAGAGAGACAGGTATAGCTTTGCCACCTGCCAACTGTAAATAGACCACACCTTGCTGACCAGCTGAAGGCCGAGGAGAAGAGCTGATGCTAGGATTTACTTGTACTTGTTGTGTGTTCTGATTGCCTGCCATTCTAATGAATGACAACACAGGTTGTCCAGCACTGTTTTGAGTAATGACTTGCTGTGGCACCGGTTTGATTTGTTGCACTGTGCCACCTGTAAGCGATGCCTGCGATGCAACAACTTGTACAGTTTGTGGTCTAGCTTGTTGTATTGCTGGCGATGACCTTTGTGCACTGACAACCTTGGGAATACCGGACGCATTTGTTACAACCAGTTGAATGTCCTGAACTGTTGCATACTGGGTTGGTTTATTTGTGGCTGATTTAATGGATTGTTGTGGCATGTTTTGTACATTGATAATAGACGGTGTGGTGCCCATTTGAACCTGTGATAGAACTGTGTTGGACTGTGAAGTTGCTACATATGCAGGGAACTGTGAACTTTTTAATGGTGTCTGTTTTGAAGGTGGTACAACAAGCTGTGTACCTTGAGGTGCCTGTACAATGGTAGGATGTGTTTTTTGTACTGAAGATAAAACTGACTGACAATTTGGATTTCTCTGACCTTGTTGTGCCCCGCCATGAACTCTAGATGCCTGAATCTGAGCCAGTAGTGCAGATGGTGATGTCTGAAAGTGAACAACTTGTGTAGTAGGTGTAATTTTTGATGTTGCCTGAACCATTCTTGCAGCCTGTTGTGAACCTTGAACCTGAATCATCTGAGCAGAACCAGGTGCTGAAGAATTTTGAACCTGTAGGAAAGCTGGAATGTTTTGTGGTTGTTGTATTTGTACGAGAGAGGGTGCAGCACCAGGCTGTGAACCCTGAACCTGATACAGAGTAGGTGTACCAACGATGCCACCTCGCCCCTGAACCTGAACAAAAGACGGAGTAACAACTGTCTGAGCACCCTGAATCTGTTGTATCTGTGGAAGATTTTGCGTGATTAACTGTGGAACAATGTTTTGACCTTGTGAAAGCACATATTGACCAGGTTGATTTGGCGAGGTTTGTAAGAACAACTGCTGGACTGGACCTCCTTGAGATGATTTGACAGGTGACTGTGCTATGTATTGCTGACCCTGGATCTGTTGAGGCAGACAACCAGGTTGACCAGGTGTAATGTTACGGTGAGCACTTGAGATAATTTGTTTGAGATGTTGTAATTGTGATGGTGTAAGGAGTTGTGGTTGCATTGTAGGTTTTGTCATGTTTGCTGCCTGCATTTTCTGCATGGCCGACACTAACTGTGCTCTTGATAAGTCTGCCTTTTGACTCTGAGCAAGAAGCTGTTGTGAATATGTAGTTTGTTCTTGCTGCAGTGATGTAATATTTGGAGGTGGTGTGCATGCTGCCGTTACTTTTTGGTTGGCCTGAGCTAGTATTTTTGAGACAAGTTTGGATGTTTGGGCTTTTTCTTCTTCTGTCATTTTTGGTGTAGTTTTTGGTGGACGTTGTCGTTTTGATTTCAACGGCTTTGGTGTTTCATCATTAACATCAATAATTTCTACTTCTACTTTATCTGATTTTCTACCTTTGGCAGATTTTGGGGTTTGTTTAGGGGTTTTGTTTTTGGGAGGTCTCCCGACACCCAACTTGGGAGTACGGAAATTAGGATCAGAAAGCCCTTGATCTGATCTCCTTTTATCTTCATCTATAACATAATTCTCATCCTTTTTCTTAACAGGACGTTTCCTAGCTGAAGGGGTACGATCACGTGCCGGTGTCTTGGCCTTAGCAGATTTAGCTTTCTTGGCCGATTTCTTCACCTGGTTAAAGGCGTCCTCCCTGGTGTATGTAAACAGCATCTCATCTTCTTCAACCTCCAGACGTCTTTCTTCCTCTTCCTTTAAAGCCTTTAATCGACCAAGCTCCCATTCTTTCTTGGCATTTTCTATATCCTCCTAAAATAGAAAAAAAATCAAAAATAATTTAATGACAATAATTCCATACAATGCCACTGAAAGCTTAACCTATGATAGATAAAAAAGACAATTCACTTTTATCTGTAAATATGAATTTCATTCCAAGTCATCTCAATTATATCACATATACATGTTCTTTGATGTCTATTTAAAATACCAACACATGGGAAACTTTTGTTTCCTGTCTACATTTCTCTTTCTATTGTCTGAACTATTCCATGCTAATCCCATGGAACAAAATAAAATCATTCCAAGTGGAATTTGGTACAATAAAGTTCAGTTTAGATAATGTGACATAAATAGCTAGTACAAGATATTGGTATAAAGTTCAGTTTAGATAACGTGACTTAAATAGCTAGTACAAGATATTGGTATAAAGTTCAGTTGAGATAATGTGACCTAAATAGCTAGTACAAGATATTGGTATAAACGTTCAGTACCGAGAATGTGACTAAAATAGCTAGTACAAGATATTGGTATAAAAGTTCAGTTTAGATGTGACTTAAATAGCTAGTACAAGATATTGGTATAAAAGTTCAGTTTAGATAACGTGACTTAAATAGCTAGTACAAGAATATTGGTATAAAAGTTCAGTTTAGATAATGTGACAAACACAACTTATACAAGAGATTGAACAGAAAGTCCTAATCTAGTACTACCTCTGCAATCTGTAATTCTTCAGCTAAAGGATCCATTTCATCTTCCATAAAGTTAACTGCATATCTTTCCACTGGTGTAAGCTACAAGACAAACATACAATTCAGATATTAACATCAAAAAGACTGTATCAGCTATACGGTTATGAATAAAAACAGTTTTATCTGATGAATGAACTAAAGTACATACTTTATGTATTAAAATATTCATTATTCATAACATTTAAATATGAATAGAATTTAAATAACTGGTATCATAAACACTAGAAGAAAATGATAAAAGTGCAATAAACAAAATTGCTAGTGTACTTATTTTTGGGTATACTTTATTTTGTGTTGAGTTCTTCATAGCCAACTTTGCAGTGATTTATTTTCATGATCTCATTTTCATGATATATTTATATAAGGGAAGTTTACTATATTCACGATCTTAATTCAAATTATTTTTCTAATCACAAAAGTTATGAAAATTAGTTTCGTTTACAGTACTTTAACCCAATGACAGTTATTGGAAATAGGAAATTCAGACTTGTATAAGTCCCCTTTTTTAACATGATTAATCCTGTGTTCTACAAAACTTACCTCCTTTTCTAACATAGCTAATTCCATTTCTACTTTGGATTCTTCTTCTTCCCTTTTTCTTTCAGCCTCTCTTTCATCCCAGGGGATATTTTCATCAAATTCTGCCAGTTCTGCCTTTTGTTCAGCTTTTACTTGTTCAACTGCTACAGCATCAGTATCATCTTCTGTCTTAGCCAGGGCCTGCAAATGTAAAAAAAAATGCAAGATGATGACTTAGATATATATCATTATAAGGTGATGAGAGCTATGCATCAATCAGCCCAACATTAAACATCTACATGTCAACATACAATCTTAAACAATAGACATGTGTTTGATATAAAAGTAAGGAGGTGTGAAATGATTGCCGATGAGACAACTCTCCACTAGAGACCAAATGACTTAGAGGTTAACAACTATAAGTCACTGTAAGGCCTTCAACAATGAGCAAAACCCATACCACATAATAAGCTGTAAAAGGCTCTGAAATAACAAATGTAAAACATTTCAAACAAGAAACTAACTGCCTGATTTATGTACAACCTTATGACAAGCTCTTAAATAGTCAAGACATATTAAAAGAGACAACAAAAAAATTGCAATTGACACCATATTCTTTTAAGGACAAACACAAAAACATTAATAAAGAACAACTACTGACAATGTTCCTGATATGGTACAGACATGTATAAAGCATATTTTCATAAACTTAACATTGTGTATAAAATCCTTCCCACAAAATATAATATATCATGTAATTTATTAACGAGCTGATTGAGAACAATAGTATCTTGAAGAGATTGGTTTATTACCATAACCTTGTAAATGTATACATTTCAAACTGATTGAGAACAGTTGTATCTGATGTCATAACCTTGTAGTTAATGTGTACCTTTTCAAACTGATTGAGAACAGTTGTATCTGACGTCATAACCTTGTAGTTAATGTGTACCTTTTCAAACTGATTGAGAACAGTTGTATCTGACGTCATAACCTTGTAGTTAATGTGTACCTTTTCAAACTGATTGAGAACAGTAGTGTCTGATGTCATAACTTTGTAATTAATGTGTACCTTTTCAAACTGATTGAGAACATTAGTGTCTGATGTCATAACCTTGTAGTTAATGTGTTCCTCTTTAAACTGATTGAGAACAGTAGTGTCTGATGTCATAACCTTTTAATTAATGTGTACCTTTTCAAACTGATTGAGAACAGTTGTATCTGATGTCATAACCTTGTAATTAATGTGTACCTTTTCAAACTGATTGAGAACAGTAGTATCTGATGTCACAGCCTTGTAGTTAATGTGTACCTTTTCTAAATGATTGAGAAAAGTTGTATCTGATGTCACAACCTTGTAATTTATGTGTACCTTTTCAAACTGATTGAGAACAGTAGTGTCTGACGAGACTGGTTTATCGTCACCTCCAGCTACTTCTTTCATAGATTTCATTTTCAGATCAACAGCTTCAGGTGGAGCAGTTTTTTCTTCTTTTTTGTCTTCCTTCTCCTTAACCAATGAATCTAAACCTGAAGGCTCAGAAAACAAGTCTTTGATTGTTTGCTAAAAATATAATCAAATATCAAAATTGTAAAATGAGCTGTTTATAATTTTCACAAGGAAGCTATTAAACCAAGAGTTCCAAATGGTGAAGTTGAAATCATCCCTTTGTAAATTTTACGGACGCCATCACGAGTTGGTTGACCGTTATGGAATAACCGTTTCACAGATGATATCGGATATGTTCCTTATGTCGTAACTACAATACCCTTCCCTTTTCACGAATGTGACCTACCGAATTAGACTATTTACGGGATTTGTAATAACATAAGCAACACGACGGGTGCCACGTCATCTGTACTATTATTTGTCTATTTGTCTTCTTATTTTTGGCCATGGCGTTGTCAGTTTGTTTTCGATCTATGAGTTTGACTGTCCCTCTGATATCTTTCGTCCCTCTTTCATTTACCACTACACCACAAACATTTCTACTTTTAACCTCTTAAGCTGAATTAAAATCTTAGTCTGCTGAGTTTAAGTAACATTTCACTAGAGAGCAACCTTATTTTGTTCCAGCTTTACCCCCAAAGACCCCCTCCCCCCCCCCCTTTTAATACTATTCATAAGCAACATATACATGAAAATAATGTACCCACTATTCCATGTTCTTGCAAATTATTGGGTATCATCTTTACTTCCAAAAATATAAGGAATAGAAGGTAGTAAAATGATAACAAAATACACCTTGTTTCACTAAGTACATTAATGCATCTTTATTGAGAGTTTTACAGATAATAAATAAGAATGTTGAAGTAAAAGTTCTTGAGAGTTTTACAGATAATAAATTGATGACAATACCTCTTTGAAGAATGTTGAAGTAAAAGTTTTTGAGTTTTACAGATAATAAATTGATGACAATACCTCTTTGAAGAATGTTGAAGTAAAGTTATTGAGAGTTTTACAGATAATAAATTGATGACAATACCTCTTTGAAGAATGTTGAAGTAAAAGTTTTTGAGAGTTTTACAGATAATAAATTGATGACAATACCTCTTTGAAGAATGTTGTAGTAAAAGTTTTTGAGAGTTTTACAGATAATAAGTTGATGACAATACCTCTTTGAAGAATGTTGAAGTAAAGTTATTGAGAGTTTTACAGATAATAAATTGATGACAATACCTCTTTGAAGAATGTTGAAGTAAAAGTTATTGAGAGTTTTACAGATAATTGATGACAATACCTCTTTGAAGAATGTTGAAGTAAAGCTATTGAGAGTTTTACAGATAATTGATGACAATACCTCTTTGAAGAATGTTGTAGTAAAGTTACCCCCTTCTATAGCCATATCACCTAACATTCTCTTCTGGTTGGCTTTCTTTAAGATGTTTTCTTCTACAGTCCTCTCACTCACAAGCCTACAATTAAATCAAAGTCTATCATGGTATCAGAATGTCAACCTTATTTCTATGACTTAGGAGACTTTACTTACAACCATGCCAAATGAATTTAAATTACTGTATATTGTAAATGGTCAATTAGTGATGTCTCTGCATCAGGTCTAGATTTATTAAAGTCGTGCTCTTCGATCCATCATTCAAAGAATTTTGGAAAAGTCTAAACACCTTGTTTTTCCATACTTTGAATTTGAATTCAGTCAAAAACAAATGGAAGTAGATGTGTTGGAACAACACAAATGGTCCTGCTCACAAAAAAAAACTTGAAGCCATTTTTAAGAATGGAATTTTTTCAGGGTCCAAAGCCCGAAATTTCAGCATAAATCAGCTAAGCGGAACCAAACATAAACTCAATCTGTAACTCATCATACTAATCAAAGTGCTTGTAAGCACTGAAGGGTAAAGATTGCTTTAATTTATCAGTGGGAAGTCAAATTAAATATTTCATTGTATAAAGCATTGGTTGTAGTTGATCCAACTACAATTCTGGACAAAGGAAGATAACTCCAATTTTTAAATATGACTTTAACAATGACATCATTGATATTTTTAGAATAGATACTGAGATTCCTGCACCTTGCAAAAGTTATGTAATTTTCTTGACAAGTATAACATCATTTTGTAACTTGAATATCTGAGTATATATTTCATTGATAAATTTCTGGAAATGTTCATGGATATGATGTATATAATGTTATGATCAATGCACTATATTTTGTGTATCTGTAAAGCAGTGATAAACCTTCGAAGATTTAGATATCAAGTCAGTACCATAGGGTTTTGATTGCATTTCATGTAATCTTTACCCCAAAATCAGCTCAATACGTGAGGGCGTTTAGAGAAAAAGTCTGTATAGCTGCTATTTTCAAGAAATTTTCAAAGTCCAAAGCCCTTAATATCAACAAAAATCAGCGGAGCTGCACCAAATGTAAACTCGATCTGTAACTCATCATAGTAAACTCACATACTAAAAATCAGCTCAATACAAGAAGTAGTTTAGAAAAAAGTCTGTATAACTTCGTTGCCGAATCACTGAAAAGGGTAAAACTATCACTAGGAAAGCCATATGGTTATAGTGCCCGATTAATGGCAAGAACGCCAGATTATGGTTAATAAATAACCATAATTCGTAATTATAGATGTTTGACACAGAAATAGACGTCCTCCTCTGACTTTAGACGTTTGCTGTATTTTTAGACTTTCGTCCGGCGTTTTAGATGTTTGCCGTAATCCCTCTCATACTCTTAGATAACGATGTCCCTTTAATAACTCGCGCGAACGACGTGTGTATTATTTAACATTAGCTATAGTATTTTTAAAAGTGTTTCAGTTAATACACATGATTTATCGTGTCGACGGGAATTAGCTGTTTGTCCGATAAAACTGATGTGTATTGAGTCGTCAATAGAACCAGTGAAGCATGAGCGACGGTTATAAATACATCGTTAAAATGTAGAACAGATATATATATATATATTCAATGCAAATCAGAATCTGTTAAACTTAACCATCTTATTTCCGATGTTTTTGAAAATATAGTTACCTGTAAATGAAGACAGAAACAGATAGTATAGATCTATGGTTAAGACAGAGACATATAATATAAAATGTCGCTGGTTTAGATGATAACATCTTTTTTCGTTTTCTTTTATCAGTGTTGCAGGTTTTTTCAAATTAAGGGGAAAGATCGAAATACAAATACGAAACGCTTTTAAGCATTGCTTTTCTGATGAAATAACTATCGATTTTTTTTCATTGGTCAATAATAAAAATCTATTTTAATACGACCAATGTAAACGATGAATACACGTGGTACCTTTGCAATACTCAACTGCAAATATCTATGAATGGAAGTCGTTTTACGTAAAACAAAAAACGTAAATTGAACTTATAGCTATGATAGATACATAACGTTAACCGATAGTTTGGGTCAGAATGTGATTTTTTTTTATCAAATTAAATTCGTCTTTAATTGCCATGTTTAGTAAAATAAATCAGTTATGTCTATTTTTGGTCCTTGTCCCGGAAACTAAATACATATTGGTCACGGAAACACAGAAGTATATGGATAATGTCATTAGTGAAACAAATTGTTGGGCTTGACTTGAAGAATTTGTCAGGTTTCTACTCTGCAGCTATAATGGAAAACGTGTATCCCTCAATTCCGTGATGGACATTAATTTAAGTTTACTGATATTTCTTATGAACACATACAATTAAATGATCGCGACATGTCACCTAGATAATTTCCCGTTGATCTGCGAAGTCGGCATTGACAGTCTATTATTGGGAATTTAAGATTTTAAAATCAATTCCAATACTGAAGTTTGCTATCTTTAGTGAGAGCAATTAAGACAAGCAACGAGGTCTATCAAGGTCTGTGTGTAGAATTTTAAATAAAAATTTAAACACTTGTTTATTTATAACAAATTTATATTGTGATAATTACATTACTTGTGTTGATTCAACAGAAAATATTTTAATTTTGTCTTCCTATAAAAAGTGAACTGTTTTTACTAATTGAAAACATGCTATCCTTTATTGTACCCCGATTTATATGTTACATAGATTACAATACCTGTCAATCATTACCCCGAGATGTTTGAGAACGCATGACTGGTTGTCCTAAATACAAAATGTATTAGACAACGCACACCTACTATTATAAACAAATTTGTGTCCAGTTTAAACGTCAACAGGTAAACAGAAGTGTGTTAATTGAACACTTGGATAACTGTTGCGGTTACATTTTTAATTATTTTCATTGATTGTTGAATAATAGTTTACAAGACAAAGCAATTTAAATTGATTGCAAACATCATATGTAATTAATGTACTTTAATGCATTAATTTCAAAAAGATAGGACGTCATTGGACTGTCTGATTATTGTCTTCGACACGATTTTATTAAATATATATCACACAAAGTTTTAAAGATGCAAACTTCCCCTAACTTTTTAAATGTTAAAATTAAAAGTATGATTTCGTTCTAACATGTCTAAAGCAAATTACTAACTGACATATTTCTACTCACTTTGGACTGATTGGAAGTTTGTCGTTACACAGCCTTCACGCTTAACTTTGGAGTCCACAAGCCAGAAGCTCAATTTTTTTAAAATTTTAGTTGGATTCTGTGGCTTGTAGAGAAGACTTTTACAAGCCCGAAAGCAATTTTACAAGCCATAGCCATAGGACTTGTGGTTAAGCGTGAAAACTGGTTACAAGTCCAGTGGCAAATATATTTAAAATATATATATATATATATATATATATATTTCTTTCTGATAAATAATATTGTAGATTAAAGTTTTTATTTATTTATTGCTAAGGGTAAACTTTCCGCCTTCAAAATCCTGGGACTGTTTTAGAACAGATAAAAAATACAAAATACACACGAAAACGATCTCGAAATGTCAAAATGTAGAAGTTAGACAGCAATTCATTTAGATCTTTGTATGCCCCATTTATGGACATTATGTTAGTTTAAACATATTTATTTATAGAGGATTGGGAAACAAGTTATTGCAACTTATATTAATCCCTTTCCACTTTGCGAGTGCTGCCTTGTAGCGGCATTAGCCTGCTCTTTTTCGAAATCTACAAGGGTGTCTTTTACGTGCAAGAGATATTGCTCTCTCATAACACGGGCCATACTCGCAAAAGGTGTCAAGAGAGAGCCGAAAATTCAGTCCCTGAAATTTTCTCCTAAGAACGGACATTATGTTTTCTGGTCTATGCATCTGTACGTCCGTTCGTTCGTCTGTCCCGCTTCAGGTTAAAGTTTTTGGTCAAAGAAGTTTTAGATGAAGTTAACGTCCAATCAACTTGAAACTTAGTACATATGTTCCCTATGATATGATCTTTCTAATTATTATGCCAAATTAGAGTTTTGACCCCAATTTCACGGTCCACTAATAAAATTGAGAATGGAAATGGGGAATGTGTCAAAGAGACAACAACCCGACCAAAGAGCAGATAAAAGCCGAAGGTCACCAAAGGGTCTTCAAGGCAGCGAGAAAATCCCGCACACGAACATAGAAAATGATAGTGCGGGTGGGGCATTCGTGTACTATGGACACATTCTTGTTCATTCTTGAAATAACAATGTCTTTAGAAGGAGCAGATGCACTAGACACGGACATAACTAATGCTATTCGGAAGGCTCAAAAGAACAGGAGAGTATTCCATTTTTTTATTATTTGTAAATAATGTTTTCAATTTTACACTGCAGTTTAGCATTTGATAATTCATTGATAACATTCTGGTGTAACACAAACAAACAACTTGTAACGTCCCATTTCATTGGCCGAAAGATTCAAATACAACAACAATCGTAGTGTGCACGTGAATTGACACAGGTGACCGACAATGGAATGTACTATGTTTTACTACGAACGTAAACAGGTTTGTGTACTGCTGTGTTATCGCCTGATTTTAAAATAACGGGGTAGAAATATTATCCTTGTGATATATTTTTTGTATTTATAAATGTTCTCTTTGCAACAACCCAATTATCATGTACCGGATTATGAAAAATATTAGCATAGGCGGATCCAATTTGTGGGAAAAATTTGGTTGATTATATGGGGAATCACTGAAGCATGACTGGAGCCAACCCCCCCCCCCCCCCCCCCCCCGCCTTCATGAAAAGTTCTGGATCCGCCACTGATAAGGATAAATACATGTGCCACATTAAATGAACCACTTTTAAATTTCTTTCACACTGACAGGATACAATTATATCCTACCTTATTGTCTCGACAATGTTTTAGTTACATGTAATAAAGATCTCATAATAAAAATAATTCATGATGGGTTTCACATTTCTCCCAAAACTTGGAATTGAATGAATTTATCGAGAAACATGAAATTGAAGGTTAACAAATTTAGTATGCTTATTTTAAATGAAGTACAAAATAATACATGTACAATAAACTGTTAAACCAAATATAAAGAAATTT